GCTACAACTGCCTGCTCGATGAGGATGGGTTGATCAATAACTGAATTCTCAATTTTCAGGTGGATGATCGAGTTCTCCCGGTTTCTACTGTTTGCTATCTTGTGGAAGAAACCTGTCTTCTGGTCTCCCAGCTTTAGGTTCCTGACCTTAGCTCTTAGAAATCTGTAGATCTCCTCCTTACGAAGAATGGACAAGTCTTTGAATTTGGCCTTGGATCTAGACTCGTGTTCTGCTGGTAGCAATGGCATGGACACCTTCACTACATCCCACTCATAAATTGCATTGAGCAGGGTTTCCTTTTGAGAGTGAAAATTCCCTGAATGGTGAGACTTTCAAATTTTTAGTGAAGCTTTCAGCAGCTGTAGTTTCCTTTGGACCTAAAACCTTGCCCATTTGTGGACTTGAGGTTGAAAGGAATTCCAGGAGGATGTCAGAAATTGTATAAAATTAGGTTCCTCGATCCACCATGCTTAAAACCGAAAGGACTTTGAACCACGAGAAATTGCTTGGGTATCTAAGAATATGGGTCGATGGTCAGAGGTGGGTTTGGGTAACACAGTGGAGTGGGTGCCCGGGAAGGTGTGATCCCATTCCAAGGAGATGATAAACCGGTCAAGTTTAAAGAGGGTGAGGTTAAGGGAGTGGTTGGACTAGGTCAACTGGGCCTCCTCTATAGATCAATTGATGTTGGAAAATAAAGTGAAAGAATTGAACCATTGCAGGTGAGATGGACTGGTTGGAATTGCAGTCATAAGAACACCAGGTGATTTTAAAGTCCCCACCTAGACACCAATAGACAAGGGATCGGGACGTTAAGGTTTGCAGTTATGCCCAGAAGGATGGTCTTAGATTGTCAGAATTGGGGCCATACACCACGGAGCATTTCCAAGGCAGCCCGTCAGATAGTCTTGAGACAATCACTATGATCGAAAAATGGTCTATGTTAAAATCTAGTAAATCATGTAGGGTGGGGTCCTTGAGTACCCAAATATCACCCGAGGCTCCAATTTCTTCAAGGGCTATCCACCTACAGGGCCTAAACCCCCAAATACTCCGGGTGTCAAGGAGGTTAGGCGACGGGAGTTTGGTTTCAATTAAGGCAAGTAAGGAGGGGGAATACTTGGTGCATATGTCTCGAACCACACTTCTTTTTTGTGGTGGCCTAGGCTCGGATGTTCCACATTAATATCTTCATTGGGCAAGTAGGGATTGGTCGGTTTGCCTCGAAGGGCGCCTTGGTATAGGCTTGGCCGAAGCACTCAAATCTGCTGGTGAAGATTGAAGGGGAACCGATGACTGTCCTTTATCGTAGTTTACATTGAAAGTGAGGAGGTTGGACAATTCTCTTTTTCCTTCTTTTTGAAGGATGATTTGGTATCCACAGTGATGAAGTCTTCCAACACCTCCCTTGGGCTGTTGACTTTGAAGCCCATTACCACTTCAATGGGATCTTCTTGGGCACGGTCCATGTCATTGATGAAAGTGGAACTGACTGAGGTCACAGAGTCCGGATGGACACTGTCAAGAGAGAATGAGTCATGGGGTGAAGAGGGCATGAGGATGTCGGAATTGGCTAGGGGTGTTTGGTTGCACCTAGAAGACGGTGGGATTCGCTCATGAGGGATGGTGAAGGAAAAGAAAGGGGAGGGGTCGGTGAGTTTGGGTGGGGGTAGTAGGCAAATGGGTGTTGGAGTAAGGGAGATAGGAGTAGGAATGGATGAAAGGGGATGTGGGTGGGGGGGGATGTTGGGGGGGGGGGGGTGGTGTCTGCTGAGGGGAGATTAAGAGTAGGGTGGACTCATTAGGCGAAAAAGGAACTGACGGGGGCTGAAGGATGTGCATGAGGAGACACTGCCTTGAGAAGTACATGGCCCTGCCGAATTCAGAATGGGGGAAGAGGAACTTTGGGGCCATAGGTTGTGTTGGGTGGGGCTATCAGGGGCGATGGGGGCCAAGGGGGAGGTGGTGGCGAGGTGGTGAGAGGCTGTGGGAAAAACCTTGAGGAGAGAAGTTGTGGCTAGTAGTGGTGGGATTGGGAAAGGAGTGGGAAGGGTTTGGAATGAAATATGGTATCGAAGGATGAGGCTTTTGGGTAGGTTCATGGAGGCTAGCCAAAGTGAGATTTGGAGGAGGAGAGGGGAGAAGCTGTGGAGGGTGCATGCATCTATCGTTGATGGGTTCCAAAGGATTAGTCACCATACCAGAGCTCTGCGACATCGTATAAGGAGTCCTTGGGGGGCGGGGGGTTGTCGGCTGGGTTGACCTGGCCAGAAAGCAGGTTGGAGGAAGAAGAGGGGGACTGAAGAGAGTGAGCTAAGGCATGAAACAGATCTGGGGAAGCAAATGGCTACTGATGTAGGCACGAGTGGTACTTGCTTGACGGTCGTCTCAGCGGTCACGGGTTGGAGAGTGGTGATGGCTGTTGGATGGGGAGAGGGAAGGTTAGTGGACAACTGTTGTTGGCCATGCTTGCCACTCAGGGAGTAGCTATTGGATGACGGAAAAGTGAGCACATGGGTTGGCAAGGGATCAACCATCGGATGGGATACCGGTGTGGCAAGAGGGGGGCGCGTGGTGATGGGCCTGCCGCTCGATGGAAGGTGATTGGAGGACGTGGAGGTGGACACCTGTATTTCAAAAGGCGTGCGGCTCGATGAGGGCAATGCTGGGAAGTCCTTATAAAATGCTTTCTCAACACGATTTGGTTCATCAGCTTGGGGGTACGTGTCGCCACGTTGTGGGTTGCATGGGAAGGTGCCACGTGGTCGATGGGCGGCATGACTGGAATGAACCACCTAGGGGGATGGGCGGATGGATTCTCGACCTTGTGATGGTGGGCAGTGATGCCAACGCATTCCTGCATATGTCGTGGCCGAGAGGAGGTCTTTTGGGCTATGGATCGAGATTCCCGAGGGGTCCTCTGATGATGGGATGTATTGTGGTGATTGGATTTGGAAGGGTGTGTTCGAGTTACTATGGTCTAGTCTGTGCGGAGCATGGTGGACTTCCTGTGTACCATGGATTGTGGTCCAGACTCACCAACATGGCAGGCAATCAAGGGAAGGCAGACGACCAAGAAACCGGGAATCTGAAGAAAAGGCTATCATTCTTGAGCCATAGGACTTTGGGGATCTGGGCTGGAATGAGGGTTTCGACTAGCAACCACATGGTGTCAAGAGGAAGAGACCCGTCAGATTTCCAGTGAACAGAGACAAACTTACCACAAGCTTCCCAAATCTGCTGAAAAGTGTCTATATTCCACACATGAAGAGGAAAATAGGAGGCTAATAGCCATATCTTTTGTGGTGCTACAACATCCACTGCCTAGTTCTAGCGCGAGAGAGACAAGGCCACTCCATGGAAACGAAGGGTATGGCTCTGAAGGGATTTAAGCAAAGCCTCCTTCGAGGGGAAGGAGAATAGGTAGTCCTCAGATGAGAGTTTCTGGTAAGAAAGTGCTGAGATGTCCCAAGTTTCAGCAGCCTAGCTCTGAATCCCTTTAGCATCATTTCGTTGAGGCTAGAACCTCCCAATTAACAAGAGTCTCAGATCGTTTTCAAGGAAAGCAGTGTGACTCCCCCCCACAAGGATGGAAAAAGGAGCAGACGGAGGGGAAGAGGTCGGAGAGGGAGAAGCCTGAAGCTATGTGTTACCTGGGGAAGAAGAAGGGGAGGGGGGAAGGTATCTCTTTGATTGGAGGAGTTGGGCATAAGTGGCATATAACAGGGGATGGGACAAGGGGGGACTCTTTGAGGGGAAAGAGTTATGTTGACGGGAGTGGCTACAGGGAGGAGGATGGTGATGGTGGAGGGCAGGATTGGGTGGTGGCTGGGTATGTGAATCAAGATTAACTATGGAAGAGGAGAGGGGAGGAGGAAAGGCCGTCAGTAAGTGTCATAGAAGAAGAGGGTGGGTTGGAGTTAGGACAAGGAGGTGTTCTTACTGGGGAGATGGCTAGAGGGATGGGGATAGTGAGGTGGAGGGGAGGATTGAGTGGCGGGGAACGTCTGGATGGCATTTGGAGGCACTGTGGAAATTTTGAGAATGAGAAGGGGAATCTCATTCTCAAAAAATTTTGGTGGATAAGAGGTTTGAGCGTTCTATAATTATAAACATTGATTTGTAAATTGTAGACCATAGCTAAGTCAAAATTTGGATTATGCTTCTTGTGTCTCAATCCATGAGATATGAGACTATGATCAAGAAGATAGTAATAATCCAATCGGACCCGAGGTAATGGGATCCTAATCTCATCATTTAGGAACGTTAACTAGATGTCTTAGATTACAAATTGTTGAAACATGTACCTGAAAACGGAACACTATTTTTGTGGCTATACTAGTTCTGGAGTGGTCAAAGAGAACAAACACCAATTATTGCTTTGATGCTGCTGATGATGCCTTGATGGGCATCCCAAGAGAAAAAAAGCAAAATGGAATAGAAATATTTGGCAGCCTTGTCATGTCAGATGCTCCAGCAGTATGATTCTGTAGAAGGTGATGGCTGTAAAGGGTGGCCTACAGCCTTACGACTAATACGGCTTCTCTGATAGCCTTCCTAAGTGAGAAACCTGTATACTAGTAGCCACTTAAATAAATATCATTGGTCCTCAAATGATGATTGCTCCTATCGACAAACCTTGAATAAGGAAATAAGATAACGAAGTGAATCCTTTCCTTCTGAAGGAGTCTGCCCGAAACCCTTTTTGGCAGAGTTAAAGTGAATCACTATTACCTTCGTAGTTGGTGGGAGGTTAAGGGTTCAGGATGTTGCAGTCGATGCACAAATCTTGTGCTAACTCTGCTTGTTTTATTAGCTAGACGAAAGTGTTAGCCATGGATTACTATTCTTATTCTTGTTCAGCTGTAAAAAGTTGTTTCATAGACCTTGTCATTTAGCCACAATGATGGGTGGAGTGGCCTGTCGTTCAGGCAACTACAATTACTTTGTTGCTTTATTTTTTGTATAGTGAACTGATTTTATATTCTTTTATTTTACAGGATATCGATATGCAACGAGGAAAACCGCTATATTTGAATGAGGAACGCTATGCAGCTCTTAATCATTTGGTGAATTTGCAGTTCTTGCTCTGTCCAGTTTCTTGTGATTGCTTTAAGCATTCAATAAGTTGTCTTTCTTCCACAGCATATTTTATATGTGTTTGATTAAAAATGTTCTTGCATGCAGGTTGTCTCACATGGCCTTGATCAAAGCTCTGAAGTGCTTCGCCATACGACCATCGAGACACTCTTTGCTTTTTAGTTGTTAATGATTGTAAGCCCTTGTGATTTACTGTTGTTCAAACTGATGCGTAGGCTGCTTTCAATACAATTGTTGTCATGGTTAATTGCTTCTATCCATGCGTGGAATTTGATTGTTCTGATGAGCAATAAATGTGTCAATGTAGATGGATTACCCATGATGTCACAGAATCTTCAAATGGAGAAGCAGTTAAGCCCTTGTACTTGAGTTGTTCAGAAATAAAGGCCCTGAATATTTGGTGATGGACATATGGATAAGGGAGATGCAAAATGGAGAAAGTGAAATGATATCCAGTGTAAACTCCTTATTTTCACCCATATGGTTTTTCTGGTTAGTTTCTTGTACTTTCTTATCTATTCACTAGTTTCCGATATAGCTGATTTTATGTTTGTAGTTATTATTATACTATGAATTCGGGGACAATAGGTAAAAGCAGTCCATTGGACATGACAAATCAATGGATGGTGATGAGGAGAGTGGGACCCACCATTGGGGTCATGTAATGTTCTAATGGGTCCCACACCCTCCATTACTGGCTATCCATTATTAAATGGTGTTGATGTGATGCATTGCAGTGCTTTCATAGGTGATGGATAATAGTACAATCTTTGATTCACTAGAAAAATTGTACAATCTTTCATAGGTGATGGATAATAGTACCCCTTAATTTTAGGTTATTCTGAGAATCCAACCAAAATATGTTGTTAACGGCTAGAAAAATTGTACAATCTTTAGTGATTGATTATGTTATTCTACAAATCAATGGATGGTGATGAAGAGAGTAGGACTCACCATTGGGGTCATGTAATGTTCCTTGGTCCCCCTCTCTCAATCAATGACTATCAATTACTAAATGGTGTGACCTTATGCACTATAGTGTTCTTCCACAGGTGGTGGATTATACAATACTTCGCCTTGATTTTAGTTAGTCTGAGACTGACCAAAATATGTTGTTAACTACTGAAAAAAAATGTACAATCCTTTTTTTTTATTTTGTTATTCTATGCGATGTTGTAGCATTTAGGAAGAAGGTTTTGGAGAGAAAGAATTTGTCTCGACCATAAAGAGTAAAATAATGTTCTGGTATGAAAGATGAACTTTTGATAAAAATACTTACTGAGGAGTTGAACGATCAAACATTAGATGTATGTCAATGGCCTTCTTCTAAAGGCATATCATTCACTATGTAGATTCTCTTTTAGCACTATTTTACTTGATTTATGGTTTTTGATATGTATGAAGTTCTTTATTAATTAACAATAATTTGATTATGTATAGTATTGCACATTTTGTTATTCATGCATTACTGTTAAATTATGAGATGCCATATATGTCATTTCTACGGTACCATTGTCTAAGGAAACAAGTAAAACTCTTCAAATCTTCTATTCGAATTTCCATGAATACTGGATCTGTGATAGCTCTGTGAGAATTCTCCAAGTTGGGTTCGTGTTATTTGATTTGTAGGAAAAAAAATCTCAATCTCCAGGTTCTAACAACTTTTCTTTAGTTTACAACTGGCTACTTGCTTGTGGGATAGGAACTTATAACTACGGTACAATGGAAATTAATTCAGGCCATGGACAATTGGTTATTACCAGTTGGAGGTGTTACTGAACTCGTATTTCTTTAGATTTTTGAATCATCACATGTACAAATATGTTGGGGAGTTCTCTATTGATGGGTCTTGAGTAGGGCCTTCCAATTTTGTTGTAACTATCACATTTGTCCATGGTTATAATTTGGATGTGTATTTTGTTGTTTTTAATGCCTTTTGGACTGTTGATTAATTGTGGTTCATGGGTGATACTGTATTTCGAGGGTCAAATCCTTAATACGGGGTGTGCAGCCTTCGGGACAATATGAATCTGCAGTTTGCTCAGAAAACCCCGTATTTAGGGCTAGATTATGTAATGGGTGTGTACCTTCTCCACTTGAAATGAGCTTGCTCATACATGCAAAGCAAGTTGCAGCGACAACATTTTCTATTGAAGCCCCAAATTCTCAACATGTATTTGTCATTTTTATGTAGTTTTGAGTTCTCAAGTGTGAAAAAGTCAACACCAGTGAGCATGATAAGGAGTGGTTTACCCCAAGCCCATTAATGCAAAAGGAAGGTGAGAAATTAAATCCACCCTCTTTTCGAACCTCTAACAAGAAAAAAAAAAGTCAGCAACAAATAGGAGATAAAATGTGGCTGTAAATCAAGCGAGGGGGAAGAAGCAGCTCTATTCTTCTTTCATAAAAATATTCTTCACACCAAAAATATATTAAGTCCAATAAACATAAGCCTCTCCCCCTTAAAATAAAAACCTTTGAAAAGAAAAAAAAATAACTCTCTCCTCCATGTATTTTTCTCTCTATCTCCCTCTCTCCTCTCTTCTCTGTATCATATTACATGAGCCCCTGAAAAAACTAGTAGTTCTTCCCTTAAGCTCACATTATACCCTCATCAACTCCCTTTCTATATGGCTTCTTAACTAATCATGTTAATCCTAGAGAAAGAATGGAAATTTCCCACAAATTCCATATTTTCTTGGACGTCATGCTATCAACCCTCAACCCATATTCTCTTTCTAACTTAGCTAATACTTCCCCACCAAAATAGACCAAATCGATCAAATTACGGGAAGCTTCGTAAAGTGCCTCTTTAGGAGTTAAACTTCCATTTGTCCATATCTCTAAAAAACGTGTCTCTTGTTTTTCATTCTCATTTCCATGACATTGAATCTATAATTCGCATTTCAAACAGGCGTGGATACAACATCTATAGGATTACTTGCATCTTGATTGGGGGTTCTTGTACAATATCCACAGGTCATGAAATCCTAGAAACTGTGAAAAGTTATCCATGCCAATCCTAAAGAAATTAGAGCCCCTTAAACTTGCCCACAACATAAAATAAAACCCAATTTAATCCCTAAACTACAATTCCCATTCCCAAAAAAGAATTAACCCTAACGAAATAAATAAATAAATCCAAACTTGGAGTAGAATTTCTTCAAAATAAATTTCAGCCTAATTTTTTGAAACGTCTTATATGCGATTTGCTTCATACTCCCCGGTTTGGAAAAGAACTCACCCTTGAGTTTTCATTATTACATCATCATCCTCCCTTAGCTGATGGTGAAGCTCTACATCTCCACGTAATTGTTCTTGGTGAGGCACGAGGCTGAACAACCTAGATGTGCTTCCAATGGTCATCCATTTAGCATATACAGTGGGCAACAAAGTGTTGACTTAGAGTCAAAGTCTGATGGCCTCACTGAAGAAAAAGCATCACTTCCCACTGAAGAAGTTTGACTTTGCATCAAGGAAGTATTCTCCAAGGTGCGGTCCCAATCTACCACAAAATATAACACGAGCACCATTTTGATAAGGTACGTTTGCCTTGGATTTGAAACCGCTTCATCACTTGCTGTTGAACCTCTGTGGCCACTTCTCTTAAAACCCATTAAGTTGTTCTTTTCCATCGCACCGTTAGAATGCACAATAACAAGAGAATTCACGGAAACTAGACCAAAACCAAATTCCAACTTTAGCACTTGTGCACAAATTTGCTTCCCATAAATGAGCCCTTCGGCCAATTACAGGCTTTGACCAGAGAGTACTCATTGGAATCAACCCCAATTTTGCACATTTCTATTGAAGCTTTAACTAAAAGAACATCTTCATCATCTCTAAGCCTTCAAGAGAAACAAGAAGAGGCTTAGCATACCGTGAAAGAGTTGTAATGTAGTTTGTACTCGAGGTTGTAATGTAGTTTGCACTACAGGGACCTACTCCAGAACAAATTTGGCCAATAGAAATCACCCTGAAACTACCTTCCCTAAGGAGCGCTACGGGTTCATACCAGCACTAAGCACCATGGTCACCCCCATGAGCAAAAACAAATTCATCAAGTGAAGCAACTGTCTTTCTGTAAAAGAAAATCAGCAAGGGTCATCTCATGATACAGGAGCTCTTCGACTCATCTCTCCTCAGATTTGTCTCTTCCGTCATATGTTTACCCTCCTAAAGAAAGTATTAATCGAACCGTGCTAGTAGTGCAGCAACACAGCGTAGAATGAAACTGATTGTCACCAACACTACCACAAGCACCACCACAACACTACCACAAGCACCACCACACAGACCGCAAGGACCAAATTGAGCCCTTCCTAGTACACACAGGCAAATACAACTTCACTATCCTTTTGACTGCTCATCTTGATTGCAAAGAAATAGGGAATGGGTTGACAACTGAAAGGGCGGGTAGATTGCAACTAAAACGAATGTAAACAGATTTGCCGCCTCTTCAACACTAGGGAGATGGCAGTGCTAACCATCGATACACTCTTGCAACAAATTGTCATCTTTGCATATTTTAAACATGTTAAATCAGCAATAGTAACCCCTAGCTCCCACAATCCTTAAGGTTGCTTGACCTGCGCTCCAAAGTTACGGTGCTAATTATGATTTGGTTCCAATAAACGACCAAACCATCCGAATTCAAACACAACCATTCCAAATGTCATGATTAGGCTTTTTTGGAACTGACAACCAACCATAATTCTCCTTGTTCATACCATCATTCTCATCACCTACACTATACAACTCCAATATGCATACATAATTGTTACTACGAACATCAATGTTAACCACATAATCATCTACAATCTGAATATCATTAAGTTTTTTTCTTCATATACTATCGGATTGGGAGTAGAGCCACACCTTCCTCTTTGAAAGACTCGGGTGGAATCTCCCCATTCGATGACAACAAAGATATTTCACGTTTGACCAAAAATACTTCTTGTTCAGAAACCACTACCCGTATTAGCTCATCCAATCCCACATCCCATTATGTTGTAGTTAAGGGCTGCTCTTCCATGTTCACTAGGAGGGATCACTTGCTAATTCAACATTGCCTTTAATAGAAATAATGTTAATAGTTAAAATTCCCTTCTGCTTGACACAATGCTGAAAATTTTCATTATTAGATTTACGGCTTTCGATATCTTTCAATCCATCAACCTCTACAGTGATGAATCTTTTGTTTTCTTTGGTCAGGAAATCACATACCTTTGTCTTTGTACTTGTGTGATGCTCATATTGCAATTTTGTTATAGGGACAACAACTCCTTAGGGTTACTCAACTTCTGCAATTTTGCAATTTTGAGATGCTCATCCTGCTCTACAAATGGATGTGCATGGAATAAAATTCCTTCTCTGCTTTTCTCTACACTTGTCAGTCTACTCCTTTACTCTAGCTACATTGGCTTTGGGGTAGTCGGTTACTTAACTCTTCTTTGAATTCATGCTCCTGTCAATGCCATCATGTATGGAAC